CTTGGTAGGGGATGGCCTCTGCATGTAGGGTCATGTTTACAATTCAGAACCAAGGGTGTATGGTATTATATGCAAGCTTAGGAAATTTGCAGTGCTTTCTGGTGGTCTGCAAGCTTCAGACTCTCCATCAGAGTCTTCACCAGGCTGGCCAGCAGGCAAGCCATCCCTCTGCACAACTTGAAGATTAGCTGTAGCCTCTTCTCTCTATGACAGCGGAGTTTCCTCAGAGTAAGTATATCCAGCACATATTGACTTGTCTATGGAGGCCTATAAAAGGCTTTAACTGTATTCAGATCAAGCTCTGATGATGAAACCCCTTGCAGCAATCTCCATCTTACTATATCGTCCTTGTTTTGGCTGAGTTTATAGATTTCCCCTGCAGGAATTCAACACACGCAAGGTCAGATGCCACCACCAGCCTCCTGCAACAGACTGAGCCACCACTTTTTTGAAATGGCCTATTGTGCTGGAATAACACCACTTGATGGGAAAAAGTAAACTCGAGTTTTGTTGAGAGGAGAATAAAGACATTTCATCACAGCAAGGCTGACCACTCTACAGAAGCTCTAAAACCTTCACGGGTATGAAAATAATGATAAAAATCACCACTGGATGCCAGGGAATACAGGTGCCTGAATAACAACTCAGTATAAAAGTGCAGGTATGCCCATTCAGAGGCTGAAGTGCCTGATAACACACTTGAAAACTGCACATAAACAATAAAGCTCTCTCCACATATGTTTATGCACAGCGATAAAAAAGGTCATTCAAGTTTGAAAAGTCACAAAAAAAGCCAGAAACCTTGATGTTATAGCAGACACCTTTAGTGAAATGTTCACTTCATAAATGAGAAATAGATGAGATTTGAGGAGAGAATCGCTGTGATATGGTGACACAGGCAGGCTGCTGCTTCACCGACGCATGAAACTGCCTCATTGGTGATAGAAGCAGTACTCTATCTGGTAAATCTGGTACTGAATAGTACCAGATTTTATAAACAACAAATACGATTCTAGAGTGATGACCTGATTATTGTAACACAGTTAAAATTTACTTAAAAATGAAGTGATATCAGTTCATAACACCTCTGGTCAGAGGACAAGTGAGTTGCCAAAGACCATGAAATTCCCATTTAACTTCTATTCAATTGGAAAGACTGCTTTCACCCAAAAGGGGGGCTGGTCAGGGTTGAAACCAGTTTTGCTCTCACCCATAGAGCTTAGTTGGCCTGTCCCGATACGATATTGATATCAGCCCAATATCAGCCAAAAGACAAATATCGGATTATATCGGCCTGCATCTAAAATCTCTAAAATCAGAACTCCAATACAAGCAGTCCATTCCAGACTCCACTGCAGCACTTCTAGCTAGCAGCGCACGGATCCTGCATGCAGAGCCCATGTGATCACAACAACAGTGTGTACTGAGGTAAAAACAAAGTAGCAAGGAGTAGGAGTGATGTCAGCTGTGTGGCAGTATTTTTTGTTAAAGTCAGAAAAAGACGTCGCAGCTGAGTGCAAAACTTGTCATGAACAAGTCTGTGCCAATACCGGATCAATGTCGGTGTTGGCCGATACTAAAAGCTACAATATCAGTATCTTATCAGAAGTAAAACAGTTGTATCGGGACATCCCTAGAGCTTACACCTTAAAATCTAGTTAGTCAACCATACTAAATCATCTGTGACTGACACCCCCATTAATAAACCAATATATGCAGTAATATCAAGTCAACCAAAGATAAAAATGCATAGTTTCAAGCAGGTCCAGAGTACTTGATTACAAGTTAGAAGCCCTAAGACTTCCACTGCTCCTTTTCCTAAAAAACAGAGACAAAAATGAGCCACTTCAGTCCCCTGAGCTTTGATTTGGACCTACAACTGTGCAAGAGAAGGCTGCATTTAAGTGCCTTTTAGACGGCTCTGACTGAAGACAGAAATACAGGCTGAAACATTAAGTCACTGTGTATAAACAAACCCCACTATCACTGTTAGTGGAGCAAATAAACTCTTGCTGATGCAGTGTCTCATACCGTTCATGCCTTCAGATATAATTTGCTACCAGACATGTGCATATCAAACCAGGTGGAATTTCACACACTCTGATGATTCAGACTCTGAAAGGTCTGGGTAACAACTTCCTTATCTCCTTCAGTCAGGGTTTGGTCCTGCTGTGGACTGGCTGCTTCCCTGACAAAGTCTGTCTTGTGAGCTTCAGTCCAACGGTGCAGAGCTGCAAGAAGAGCCAACTAAGTCTTGCTGCACCGCCAAACCCGGTGTTTAGCTACCAAATAAGGATCAGCAGTTAATGGGGCTCATTTATCAAAGCTGCTGAGAACAAACGCCTCCAGGAATGGACTGAAAGTGAGTGAGATTATCTACAACAGCTATGAGATTTATGTAATGAAACCAAGAATGAGTCCTACAAAAACTCTTGTCGTTTCAAGATAAAGTAAGGAGAATTCCATATGGTATTCAAAGATCAGACAGCTGTGTGAAGGAGGAGTATTGCCATGGTTACACATAAGAGCTTAAAAAGTTATGTAGATGGTCAAAAGTTCTTTAAAGGGGACTCAGGAAAAGTAAGTATGAGTTTGAGAGTGTCTTCAAGGAAAATATCTCTTCAGTTAAATGATGTTTAGACCAAAAAAATGACTCTTAGTGAGATCTTGTTATTTAAAGATAAATAAAATTCCACTTTTTGAGTCTTAAAAGAGAAACTGCTTTGAATCCGTGAAGGTACATTTGCATCAACATTAGGTGTTAGTGCTTCTGGGATATTATGGCTATTTTTCATTCCCTCTTTATAAACAGCATTTGTTTGATATTAAATTAGGAGGCAGGCAGCTGTGTTACAACAGAGCCCTCACAAAACTCTTACTGAACATTATGCACAACAGACCACTTTAGTTTAATTCACCGACTCGACAAAGAGAAAATGTCCTTTTTCACCAGTGGCTTATGGTTGGAAACACTTTACATAGAGGTCTTTGTAATAAGCATTAATTACTAGTAATTAATAAGCAACATCGGAGACATAAACATTTATGAATGTTACAAAGTGTTTATAAAAAAAAAAAACATTATGCACTAGTTTGGCTTAAAAAACACTAACAGGCTCTGATTGGAAACTTGTTTACACTTTATATACCTGTCAATAGGATGTTTATCAACATTAATTAGACTTAATAAGACATAATTTAAGATTTAACTAACATATTTATCATTGGCTCATAACAGGCTTTCAAGGAGATTAATACAAATAACAGTTTAATCAGCTTTTGCAATTTACTAAGATGTTTATCAGCATGAGCCTTTACTAAATTATAACCAACATTTATTTTTGCTTATAGGACCCCTTATAAGCAGTCACCGAAGTCTTGTAAACAATTGAAGGATCACTGTTTTATCTTTAATTCGATGTTATTTGACATAAAAAGATCATATAAAGTTATAGTTAATGTCTTGTAGATATAAATAAATCATTTATTTAACTCTAATTAACAGTTAACAATGCTGTTATGCAGCTACTGGGTCTAAAGTGGGAATGGATGGACAGAATAATTAGATAACACAATTGAAATGAACTAATGACTAATGACAACAAACAAAAGTATGTTGAGAGAAAACTATAGAGTGATAACATACGTATATAAGACATAAACTCTCCAGCTACCTCTCTCTAAAGCCACATCTGCAATCTGTTCATGTATTCAATTGGAAGAACCATGGGACTTTACAGCATCTGACTCACTTCTGGCTCTTGGTCAACAAAAACGTTCACGAAAAGGACAAAATAAAAGCCCGAGTTGCTAAGAAACAAACCCTTTGACTTCTCCCGCAGTTTGTCCAAACAGCACGAGGGTTGCGTTGGCTTTTCAATAGTCATGCTGCTGAATATGACCCTGGCCTTTTTGTCACAAATGGTTTCTTCTGACCTGTTAGGATTTTAGTGTGTGGGTTATTTCTCCTTTTGCTGCTTTAGTCTTTAATAGAGCAGCACTTGGGTGGCCATACTGAGCAGAGGAGGCTCTGGTAGTTGCAGGAGAGAGATTAAGTAGATTTAAGTTTGACAGTGTTGATAACAGACTCCAGTTGCTGTAGGCTTCTGCACATTAGGGCACAGAGAGACAAACATATACCAACACATCCCGCAGTGAAACATTGATTTCTTTAGAGCTCTGAAGCCCCTCTAAGTATTGTCAGCTCCAAAATTAAGCAGCTTAGAGACAAAGGAATCAAATGAGTTTCCATTATGAGGTAAATATACCATCAAGCCCAGCGTATAACACTATGTGGTAGCATTTTGGGGAGGTATCAAATCAGCCTTTTTCATTTGGACACTGTGAAAAGCTCTGAAGATCAGTTGAGCAGCCAGGTAATGCGCAGCAGCAGTTTGCTCTAATATACTCAGTAATGTTCTTTTGATTGCTTTGGTTCATTTCGCTCTGCTGTGCAGGAGGAGGGAGCCTCGCCATCAAAACTCACTCCTCAGCCAAGGTTAGAGGAGAGATAAGAAAAAAAGGAGCTGAATTAGATAAGTCAAGAGGTGTGACTAAGATTCCTGAATCTGAACAATCTCTTTTCATATTTCAAGCCACTAGAAGTTCAAAAAGAAACTGTCTTTGTCTGAGGAGTTCCAAAGGAAGAAATGAAGAAAAGAGTCGACTGATTGGTGTCAGAAATAAAGTCAGGAGTGCATCAATGCTGAAGAGGATGGAGTCAGACACAAGAGCCACTCTACTCTTTGGAATATAATCTTCTCACTCAAAAAACAAGTCAGAAGTCATCTGTCACCGTGAAACAGCAGCTATGATCGGTAAATGCACTCTGGCTCAGATTCATCCCTCTGAAGCTTTCTACTCTCACTGAAACAATCTTTCAGGTCTTATCTACAACATGCTGCACCATCTACCTACTGTTGAATAGCGACTTGCTCAAACTCGAACACTCAGCACCAAGTTTCAGCAGAGCCATCCTCACTCATGCTCAGAGATGGTTGTCAGACCGAGGTTAGGGCTGCGTTAGACACCAGCTGGGAGCAGGTGTCTGGCAACAGAGACGTGTAGCACCTAAGTCAGCCACCATCACAACCTCCTTTGTATGTGTGGTTGCTGTCGCTCAGTGACCCTGCTCTGAGTCTGAGGAAGGTTACTGAGCAGAGTCTGTTGATTGGCTGGCTAAAACCCCTTTGATCGCCGGACTCTTAGAAGACACACACAGACTGTAAGGCTACAATCGTTCTGCAGCATTTCTAGCTCACCTGACAGGTAAATGTCGTCTCCGGCTAAGATGACACTGAAGAAGTCTCGATCGTAGAAGGGCAGGCCGGCCAGCGGGTACCACTTATTGTTCTGGGGGTTGAAACAGGTGACTGCTGTCAAGAAGCGCTGGTTCATCTCTATCGCCTGATGCTCTCCTACCAAGATTATCACCTCTGCTGAACCTGCAGGACAAAGGTGGAGCATAAACGTGAAGAAAACACAATCAGGGGAGGTCTTTATAGAATTATAAAAGCCAAAATTGAATCAAAGCCTCCCTGAAATGCTTTGTGCTGCAGGCGTAATGTTTTGTTGCATGACGTTTGACAGTTAAGTAATCATCTGAGTATTTAAAAAGCAAGGTGAAAATTTATGTACCCTGAATAATTGTGCCCTCATAGAAAATCTTCATCATTGATTGGCTGACTGAGCAACAACTTACACATGCGGCTATAAATCATAAGGCTGCTGTTATGAGTTCAGGCCGACCTCAGCCTTTTCCTGAATCAATGAGCTTGTCTGGAAATGCAAAATAGGAAAGTTTCCTCTTGGTCACAGGAAATTACTTTGTAAACAGAGAGTGTAACTCAGTTTATGAAGACTGACATAAACAAACATGTTGAGGACCATGTTTGATTAAAAGAAAAACAGTTCAAGCATTTTACTGTGTTGATGGTATGATGTATTCATATCTCATCCCTGTTACTCCTCACTCTATCTGTGCTCTCACACATGCACACACAAACAAACAGACACAGACCTTCTGGATAAAGACAGCAGTGATCTAAAACACACAAACAGGCCAGCAGGCTGCCACATGTGTGTCTCAGGTAGGGCTGGGCGATATGGCCTCAAATCAATATCATGATATATTGAGCAGTTCACCTGGATAATCGTAAATGAATGATAACTACTCCTCAAGCTGCTCACCCCCTCCCACATTAACTTCATCTACTTCAGCCGCCGCTCCAGCCATTACAACTTTTGAACCGTCCTCCATCTCCTCACCTGTCTTTCCCTCTTTGATATGGACTGGATGGGGTGGAGGGACATGAGACCATAGCCTACCTACACACATCAAAAACCAACTTTTATTTTATTCATTTTTTGACACCAAATATGTTGACATCGGCAAAATGACATCAATTATCGTCGTAAATTTCGGCATCAGTAAATTTTTGGTTTATCGCCCAGCCCTAGTCTCAGGTTCTTTCAGTCTTTAGCATCAGCAGCAGGCTCCAGAGAGCAAACAAGACAACAAGCTACCAGATAGAAATGAGCTTGTAAGCAGCAGGTGGGTGAGAGGTAGGGAAGGAAGGGAGAGAGGTGGAACAACGGGGGGACTCAAGAGGGGAGAGAATGAAGTGGAAAAACACACAACACTTGAAGCCAAGGCTAAACACAGGTTTATTTTTCTAGTGTAATACTTTTCCACTCAGACTCTCCTGACAGGGTATCTATAGGTGGCTGGTATTTTTCTAGTGGTTCTGTTGAAAAGAAAATTCCCTTTACATCTTTTTTTCTAAAGGAAAAAGGAAAAAAACAACAGAGAACTATATTAGCCTTTAGTGAGTCTGAGCCAACACAAAGCAGTAAGCACTTTCTCACACAATTTATCATGGACACAAATCAGACTGAGTGCACATACAGCTTCAGGTTGGCTGGCTTTTTTTGTGAGATTGTAAGAAAAGTGTACCTCTGTGTCGGCCAAAAACATCATGTATCAAAGCTGTGACTTAGGCAGTGTCATTTCTAGAGGATTTTCTGGCCAGTCGTGACATATTGGGGGAGGGAAAGAAGATTTAAGCCGGCAGTGCCCTTCCCGAGCTAAGAGTAAAAGGTATGTTTGAATGAGAGGCAGTGCTGAACAGGATTGTGGAAATCTCTGAATTCTGCATCCATAATGACAAAAAACACAATGTTCTCTAAAAAAAAAAAAAAAAAAAAAACTCTACAGGCACGTGTCTTCCTGGAAACAGTGTCCCAGATACTCTGGATGATCCACAGATGTTGCTACAAAAAGTTTCTGGTGGAACATTTTTCTACCAAATAATTGGTCCTTGTGGAATCACGTTTTTTTTTTTTTCTGCAGTTTTTCCAAAATAACTGGGACACTTAGTCCCTACAAGATCAGTCCTGTTTACCAGAGACCATGTGAATGCCCCCCTCTTTCCAGATTCACAACATCATGAGTTAGATTATTTGGAGAGCTTCAAGTTCAGGACAAGTGTCCCATGATGTTTTCGGAAATGTCAGAGGTCTGTATTTAGAGGAGCTAACGCTAGCAGATCATTTAATTTTTCGTATTTTCACTTAAAAAGCAAAGAGGACAGTATCTGTGTCCCAATCCTGGAGCTGCAACCTTCAGAGGACCTGGCCTTTTAATGACTCAGTTGTTGCGGCCTGCATAGACAGGTCTACCCTTCAAAGGATTGTGTACTTGCATCACTACTCAGACGACAGCCTCACCTAGCTGTTCTTGTCGCTTAGTAACGGCTAACCAGAATGAACAGCTAGCGTCACGTGATTTAAACACCAAACTTTGCAAAGATAGTTTCAAATTTCAATCCCTCTGTCCCTGATAACGTTTATAAAACATACTACTGAGTTCAAACCGAACACTAAATCTATTATTTAAGAGTGTATTACTCTTATAGTTGCCTTTTAAAGCTGAGGTTGCCTCCCTAAGACAATCTTTTCAATTCATGTTTACTTAGGGTGACCATACGTCCTTCCTTTTGGGGGCTGTCCAGCCTGTCTGGCCTTGTTGGGGGGAGTTTAAAATCCTTCAAATGTGCGGGGTTTTGTACGGAAGTTTTGAGTGTGTAGCTTAGCCTGTGTGTAGCCTGTGTAACTTGGACTGACTGAGTAAGAAGCGCGTAAAAAACACTCGACCCGAAAAACTCTCAAAATTTACTATTGCCGACTCCGCCCCGCTTAGCAGTGTCCTCTTTTTGGGGATTGAGAATATGGTCACCCTAGGTTACTGCTGATGCTGTGGAGCCAAGAAGAAAGATGGCAAATGGATTCAATGATTTTATGATCTACTGCTGCTGCTGAGGAGAAAAAGTAAAGGATACATCAAGATAAACCACGGAAAAGAGAGTTCATCTGCTTGTAGCAGGATGCAGTGGGAGGCAGAGTTCACAGAAAATGATCAGATGGTCAGTTTTAAAGTTTTGACTTTTGGTCTGCTTTGAGGGGATGCAGCTGCTTTCTTAGAGCTGCTGGCTGATAAGGCTGTGAAGAAGTGCATGAATGTCATGTCAACAGGTTGACATGCAAAAGTTTGAAACTCTTGTTTCAGTGAACTTTAACTGCATGGTCTGGAATAAGTAGAAAGATCGCTGGAGCACAAACACTGGAATGAACTTCTGCATACTCAATGTGCATGTGTTTGTGTCCTTTTAAACTTTCAGCCTTTAGACAAAGAAATGCTTGATAAGACATGAAAACATGGACAGACAACAGCAGGAGGAACTAAACTGCTTGTTTATAGTTTGTTTAGAACTACAACAGTATTTGTGTGTTTGCATTTGTGTGTTTGTGTTTCGGTGTGGGCTGAGCTGGCCCCCCGTGTCTCCTCATCATTACAGCTCATTTTTCCTGAGTGCTCCTCCACTTTGCGGGGTTAACAGTTTGCCTTGATGCTCTCCGCCCTCCTCTGAGCTGAGCACAGCATCGTATGTGAAGAGAGGGGGAAATGTGAACACAATGTGCGCTGTCTGTGATGCACTCACAGCTTGAAAACACAGCATGAACCAGAGCTATTGTACCACTATGCAAATGCTCATATGGATGAAAAATTCCTGCTGCAACATAAGTTAGTTTTCTGAATGAACTTGAAGAACCAGCAACAGTTTGATCCTCCAGAAAGTCCAGTGACAGTCAAGTAGATTTACATCCACACTCTAATTAACCAATCAGTAACTAGTGGATACACAAACAGTACATGACACTGATTTCCTCTTATCAGGCCGGAAGTTTTACCGTCACCTCAAACACTCTTTTGTCTAATAGAGGTTAATGATATGCTGCTGCATTGGAAATTTCACTTGTTCACGAAGGAAACAATATAATATAAATACTGAAATTAAAAATTAGTTTGTTTTTAACCTTTTTGGACTTATTTTTGACCTCATGACGCAGTCTCTGTTGTAAATTTGCAAGAAAAGGTTTCCAGACTGATTGATGTCCAACATTGTTATGTATAGGGCTGGACGATAAACCCAAAATTTACCGATACCGAAATTTACGACAATAACTGACGTCATTTTGCCCATATCAGTATATTTGGTGTCCAAAAAATGAATGAATAAAAAGTTGGTTTTGGATATGTGTAGGTAGGCTATGGTCTCATTTCCCTGTAAGACGCTGTCGTACATCAGAGACTTGACTCCACCCCATCCAGTCCATAACAAAGAGGGAAAGACAGGTGAAGAGATGGGGTACGGTTCAAAAGTTGTAGCAGCTGGAGCAATGGCCAAAGTAGATGAAGTTAATGTGGGAGGGGTTGAGCAGCTTGTGGAGTATTTATCGTCCATTTATCATTATCGAGGTGAACTGCTCAAAATATCGTAATTTTGGGCCATATCGCCGAGCTCTAGTTATGTAGATATTTCTCTTTCAAAACCAGACTCACTAACTCAGTACAAGAGTACTTTGGGTGAGACAAACAGATGAAATGTAGGACTTTGTCAAAGCCACTGATATAAAAGTTTACAGCTAAATAAAACTGGTCTATAAAGTTATGAAACACATTAAATCAATGCAGCGCAGCAGAGTTCTATATAAAGAAAAAACATGAAAACAAGAAATTAAAGGTTGTGCAGAAACCATCTGGCTCGTTTTATTGAGCGGTAACAGAAATAACTTTAAAGCTCACAGCCGGTGAAGCCAGCTCTTGTCAAGATATCAGCATTATTGCTGAAGTCAGACAGTTACAGGCCTATACACTTCGAAAAGTACTTTATATAAGTGTATAGGCCTGTAACTGTCTATTTTTCTTATTGTTCTTCATATATGAGCAAGGAAATACGCTGAATGGGCAGATGCGTTTGTTTTAAGCTGGAGTGTATCATCACAACATGCAATTTTTCACTTTTCTTGCTGACTTCAAATAAAAACACATAAATATTCAGCCTGGATACTCAGCCACAATAAAAACCTCAGTGCCAGAGGAGTTTAATTTTGATGAGGGGGTGGGGACTTGAATATTTTAGGTTCAGATTCAGATTTAAATGCATCATGAATGTATTTATCCCAACAGCACTTATGCATTTATGTAACTCTGCAGCACAAACCCACAAGCTGCTCGGAATCAAAACACACTTCACACACTTCAGCCTGCATAATGAGGCTGTAGTGTGGAGATGAGATGCACAGACTAAACACTCTAAAAAGACCCTGGGAAAAGCATGTCTGTAGAAATTGCTGCAAACAAAGAGAAACTACTCGATCAAGGATGAATAATAGGTACATACTGCATGTGCACAACATGCCACAGATTGAATCAAGACAAAACTGCTCATCCCTAAATTAATATCATCAAAGTATATTAATTAAATGACATCAGACCTGATGGACTGTTACTATGTAGACAGTCCACATCATCTCCACCCTGTCCTCACAGTGTGTGAACTGTAGGCGTACCAGCAGAAAGTCTCAGACACGACAGAGAAAGAGAAAACTACTGTTGCTTAAGAAAATAATAAAGGCAGAAATAAAAGAAAATAAGCATATTTTCTCAAAGCAATGTCTTTACAAACAAGATTCACATGAGCAATACAACATAGACACAGACTGATTTACTCCCAAACTCAGTTTTTCTATTTTGGCTGCACAATCACTTTTTAAACTGCACCATGAAAAAAAGAGGGAAAGAAATCATTATGTTGGAGAAACGTCTGGGGCGTTAAAGTAAGAAAACCTGGTACTGAATTTTTTGAGTTATTTTTGTTCGTTTGTTTTTGGTACGGAAACTAAAAACAACTGCAGACATGCACCTCAACAATTTCCCCTCCTGCTTCTGATTTTTCTCTTTCCAAATTGAATTTTTCTTTCGACAGCTGACTGTGTTTATGCAGTTAAATGAAGACCAAGATTTAGGCAACAATAATCAGATAATAAGACTCAGGCAACAATAAGATTTGAAGAAGTTTTAGAAGTTTTAAGAGTCATAAAAATATTCATCACAGTCAAAGCCTAATATGAGCTTTTTTCAAGGGTTTCTTCAGCACGAAAATGATCACCAAACTGACTAAGTAGTTTGTCTTTTTAATACTTTATCAACTGTAGCCTGACCTAACACGTACGTATGTTTATACAGTCCAGGTACTCAGATGCAGTGGCAGGACCTGCTGTTTCCATAGCAACCAAGCATAAAGCTTTTCTTTTAATCTGTCTAGTCTTCCTCTATATCTCCTCTTTGTTCTTGGGTCTTTGTTTGCATGTCAAGACACTTTGCAAACCCTTGTTTTTAAACGTGCTTTATGTATATATATGTATGTTTTGGTCTATCAAAAGTTGGTTTTCCTGGATGGTGTGTGTGTGTGTTTGGGTCAGTCTTTACCCCCCAATAGGAGTCTTATCTATACAGACAGTAAGAGCTGTAAACAAGCCTGGACAGATGGACAGAGACCCGAGGTGGAGGTTTGACCCGGCTGACCCCTCAGCTTAAAGCGAAGTGGCCAAGCTGCACTGGGGGAGAGTGACAAAAACAACAGACACAGGGAAGCATCATTCAGATGAGAGCCCATAAAAAGCTGACACTCTGTGAAATCATCTCTCTCTCCCACCTGAGGCCCTTTTAACTCCAGCCTGTGTCCCATCTGTTTAACACTACCAGAGCAGAGGTAGACGAGGAGAGGAGAAGACAGGATGAGCGAGAACCCAAGTGAAATATTTTCCTCAAAGGGGTGAAATAGAGGTTTAATAAAGGCTTCTTCACAGGTGTAATTAAGGTTTAATAAATGTATAAGAAACTTGTCAAAGCAGAACTGAAAATGAAACAAAAACAGGTGATTTTTCCTGTTCATTTTTCACCATGACGTTAAGAGACAAAGTCTTAAGCACATGGATATGCAGGGCTTGACACTCACTTTTTTCACAAAAGTAAGGAACTTTAGGGGCACAATGAAAATTGATCAAGTAATGTGTGCCTTATTGGTCAACATAAGTACTATTATTTGAAATCAATTTTAGGTCTTTTGGTCACATGACATGGAAGCTATTGAAGGAAAACAGCCTTTTTTGAGAACATCAACCGGTAATTTATTGATGGTCCCTTATTCAACACCCGATGTTGACAGCAATGGTGTCGAATAGATTTAACCGCGCTGCTGTTGCCATTCCTGGTTATGGAGACTGAGAAGACACTGATAGATCCGCAGTGAATGTCCGTTGAATATCCCACCTGAAACTAACTTCACAGCGGTATTTACATGAAAAAACATTTGTTGCCCCGGCTGATTTGTTTCATGCGCATGTGCCCCTAAATACATTTTACAATTTTCACACATCTATTTCTAGTCGCAATTGCAAGTTAAACGGTTGCACTGTTGAGCCCTGATATGTGTAGGAAATATCAAAACTCTCACTGAAAAAAGCCAAATGTTCACACTATATTGTAAAAGTTATCGGATGTGCTCTGGAGCCAATTAACCTCACCGATGCGCTTTGTTTTAATTCTTTTTTGGGTCATGGGCTCTTAAATTAGAACCTGCAGGTGGTGGGGAATAGGTCCACACAGCTGACCGCTTTGACCCTGTGAGCTAAATTACAGCTGTATGTGGGCCAGCTTCAGCCAGGTGGTGCCCTTAGAGTCACAGCAGGAATAAATGTGCTCAAAGTCTGGGAGCACATGAGGAAATCTGCACCTATTTGTAACAGCTGGTAAACACGCCTGAGTTTCATTTTCTCCTCTACGTTATGTCTTGCATTTTGAAGAAATTCCCCCAAGTCCAGATCAAACAGGCTGGAGTCTTTGCCAATGACTGAGAATGCATCTGTTGTAGGTGACGTGCATGCTTAGACAGGTATCAGTGACCTTAAGGAAGGAACAAGCGTGGTATGGAAATTGGTCGTGTGGGTGCTCCATCAGGAACAATCTGCTGTCAGGATCGAGCCCATACATTTAAAGTCTGCAGGTCAAGAAGTCAAGTCAGAGGCAGAGCAAGCCATGTTTGAGCTCTTTGCATGTGTACTCACCAGCAGGGTTGTCTTGATAATATCTAAGACAAGTTTCATTTTTTGCGATGTGTCAAATAAAGAAAAGAAATATCCAGCGCCTTACTGTACCATCTGCAAATCTAAGCGTCATACAAACCCACATCTGTCGGATCCTCTTTCTGTTTGCCAACATCTTGAAAATGACAGTAAAACTACCTTAAAGAGACAACATCTGGTCTCTGCAAAAAGGTAACTGCTTCATGTGATATTTGAACATGTGTGTGAAAGAAAACAGATGGAAGAACTTCATAAGTAAGGCCTGAAGTATGGTGGTACTCTTTAATAACCATGTAATTGTGATCTTGGTCGTTATTAATCTGGTTGTTATAATCATCCTAAATTCACGTTTGCTGCTTTTATCACTCGCCTCTTTCTCCGTCCTGTTTTTGTAAAACGATTCTCACTCGCTCTCTCTCTTTCTTCTTTTTTTTCTCACTCTGAACCTCCCTTCCCGCTCTTCACACTTCCTCCCACATGTGCATATAAAAGGATGAAAATTGGGAAGAGTGAAGCGCCTACTGCTCATATTCAATTTTTAAGTGTTGGACTGTGCTAAAGAAAATAATTCTGTTTTGTATTATCCACTTAAACTACTCAATCAGGAAAAGAGATTTTATTTCTATAAGTATGCTGTAAGATTTTCCTTACCTTCTGTTGTTTTGATGGATGGTTTCCAAACATTTACAGCCTGAATTTGACTAAAACTGTTGCAAAGAAGACAAATCAAATTTTAAAACTGAAAAATCTTCACTGTTTCATAACAAAATCTTACGGCTCGTTTTAAATTTGATGCCGGTGACGCGTATCAAAACATGATTACCAATCTGTTGCATCACTTTTTCTTTAAACATTTGGGAATCGCGGAGGCCAGTTTCACAAGTTTTCAGACTACATGTGCAGACGAGCCGGAAGGATGGATGGAGGGAGGGAGGGAGGGAGGGAGGGAGGGAGATGCAGCAGCAACAGACAGATGCTCACTGCTGCCCTGAGCAATGACTGACAGGTGCAATGTGTTCTCCTTAGAGGGCAATTTCAGCCTGACTTCATTCAATTGAAAAAATGGGACGGCCTACTTCTTCACTTATAATTCAAAACATATCTGTACCAATGACTGCTCCGTATCTTGCACCTTTCCACCTCATAATATAAAGCTTTTTTATTATTCCGTATGAATCCTGGGAAAAGAAAAAGTGCTTCATTTAGACTCAACTTTGTGCCAAATAGCTCTGTGTGTTTCAAAGGGAGAGTAGTGAAAATGAGATGCCCCTGACCTGCTCTGGATATGCAGTCTCTGGAGATGAAAGTGTGGATGCACATATCAGGACTGCAGGCTCTCTGAGACAAGATGAGATAAGGTCTCGAGTCTGGCAGCCTACATCGCATCCTATTCTATGTATAATAAACTTAAATGCAGCTGGACCGAGGGCTTGTTTTTTTTTATGATTTCCGGTCTTGTTAAAACATTGAGGACCCTAGAGTGATATAAGAAGAGCAACAACCTGAGCATTTCGGCTGTATCAATTTCAATTTCATGGCCACGTCTTCTCGAGTCTGTCACTGAGTCACAGACCACGCTAACCGTGGCCTACAAGTTCATATCTCATACTCCTTGACGTAATTAGTTCAGTCCTCTAGGATAATGAACGAAAATACCCATGTGACCTTTCTAAAAAGGTAATATGATTAATAGCTCCAGTTCTGAACTTGGAGTTTAGAAAAGAAAACGACTAAATTAAAAGTGATGGCTGTGGTGAAAGGGTCATTTTTAGTTTTAAAGGTAAATGAAGCATGAAGCTCAGTTTATTTCCTCACACTGCCTATAAAGTGTTTCTGACCTTTGATTATTTTCTGCTTCATGCCGAAATAAAAACGTCTCGTATCTCAAAAAATGATTTATTTTTCTCTTAATAAGGGGTGAAAGATAAAAGAATCTGATCACATGAGCAAACATACTCTGACAATATTCAAGAACATAAAAAACAAGTAATATAACACAATTAATTTGGCTTGAGAGTTGATAGTATCCGAGGAGGCCACAGTTGATTCTGAGCGGACAGCAGCTTGTTACTAATGACATAACTGTCCCTTTTATGATGAAAACACAGCATGAATGCTTTTTTTGAGCTTATAAGAAATAAGTAAGAGGCTTTTCAAAGTCAGTTAATCAGTCTCTCTTGTCAGGTGGAGTCAACTGGTGAGATAATGTCCTTTGTGAAACATGCTGAGCACTGATGGAGATTTGGCAGAGCCTGCCTGCTATAATTGGAGCCCTGTGTCTGTGGTCATCACATTAAAAAGTGCAGGGTGAGTAGAGGCACAGGTCTCCATCAATCAGCACCTTTAGAGACCAAGACACATCACACTGTTTTCTCTCCTGCTGTTAAACTAGTAGGACCAGTGTCTTTAGTCTGAGTTTTTGAATGGATTGATTTCTCTTTATAAATTAAATATGCCAGTTATCCACTCTGTAGCCTGCAGCTTACAACTCACCGCACGGACACACAGACTTTAATAGACACAAAGATGAACCAAACATGCACAAACTTCGCTCCAGGCTTTGAGTCATACCTTCTCTTCCTGAGTTTCCAGCAGCCCTGCGACATTCCTCCCTCACATGTCATTAAAAAGTGTCACAGGTTCCATAGGAGTGACTTCCTGCTGCTGTCTGACTCCACCTGAAGTGAAGAAACAGAGGAGAGGGAGGGAGGGTGGGTGGGTGATGATGAGCTAATGCGCAATCATGTGTGTAAACTGAACCTTACAGGTCAGATGACCTCCTCCTGAGGCATGATGGGAGAAGACTACACTCTCTGCTCTAATCCTCCTCGGTCCTCTCTGCTGACCTGCTGGTTGTGTTTCTCAGTCACATACTGATGGAGATTTAAGCTTGATATCTCTGCTGCCTGGATGTCATGGCTGCGAGCAGAGGAACCATCTGCTGGATATCAGTTTACAACATAGGGTCTCTTTTTCCATTTCTTTTTCCTTTTTTTTCAATCACAGCTCACTCATTTCCATCCTGTTCTGCTTCTTTTCACCCCCCCACCCCCACCCCCCATCTCTCTTCTCTCTCTTTTCTCAGAGATGGGATGACCTGGTTGTCTCGTCTGAGGAACCAGAGCACTGGGCTGTTAAGATATCCGAGGAAAATGTCCTATTCCTTTTTTTTTTCCCTCTTCATCTGAGTAAGTCACCTCTGCACCTCTCCATTAGAGTGTGAGATTGCAGCAGTCTGCCAGATTGAGCTGGCTGGAGGTTTTAGATGCAGATGACAAAGATCATGTCCTCTTGAAAACTGTGAATCAGCCATGCTATTAAAGTGCCAAACCGCAGTGTCAGTCATCCCGCGAATTCTATTTTTCCATAAATATGTCATAAAACTTCTTTAACTTTTGACTATTTACTTCAGTCTTCTCCTCGGTTAAACACACAGTATGTATGACGAATATCACCACAGCCTCAAATGCCACATCTTAAAGTATAATCACTGAATATTTAATCCAAAAGGTGAAAACTTCAAATATTGATGTCAGGTTTCATAAAAATGTGAGCCAGTAAAGTAGCAGAGCTTATGAAGCTCTGCATTAAATGTGATCCAGCTGATATGAGGCAGTTCTCCCCTTCTGTCTGTCAGTGAAGGAGCCATCCACTTTGAATGCATGACTTCTTCACTGATGGACCGCTGTAATTTACCTGATAATCATCTCACCTTCACTTTTATGATGCTCAAATATTCTAAAATCATTTGGTTTAATTCATGTTTTAGTGTCTGTATCCATAAAACTCTCATGACCTGAGGTTTTTTAATCACTTAATCATTATCCATCTACAGTGCTGTCCATTTATCTTTGCATGAATGTGAGCTGATGCTCTCATCCTGGGGTTTATTGATTCCACATTTGCTCTGATCTGACATGCTGTATCTCAGTGCATTATCCATTTACAAGAAGGAACATTTGATGATGAACAGCCTCCAGAAACTTTTTTTTCTTCTTCTTGCAGTACAGTGTGTCACAGAAAAATGAAGTGTAACTATGAATAGAGCGCACTGTGAGGACAAAGCGCTCATGGGATAAATAAATAAAGTGTCAGGACATAGTAGCACCGCAGCAGCACAAGGACACAAACCACAAACTCAGTCATCAGCTCTGTTTTGTTATTACCTGTGCTCTAGACTCGGGGTCTTGTAGACCAGCTCCTCAGCCTCGGTGCTGTGACTGCTGCCGGACAAGCAGGACGCCAGAATGGGTTGATCAAAAGGGTGATAAATGTGCTCCCATCTCAGGGAAGCTCTGCAGAGCAAAAGCTTTGGGCATGTTGTGGAGCTTGGTGCAACCCGTGGCTTCAGCCATCGCCAGCACTCCCAGACAGTTAGCTGTGGTCAATAAACCAGAGCAGAGACAGACAGAGGACGAAAAACACCAAGAGGCACAGAGAGAAAGAGACAGGAAGATTTATTAGTACGAAGAATTTTTAAACGTTCATCGCAAAAATACTGTACATCTCTTGCTCTAGTGTCTTGAAAGAGTGTGGCATTTGAGGTAGGGATGTCTCGATACAACTTTTTTACCTCCGATACGATACTGATATTGTAGCCTTAGTATCATCCGATACAGATATTGTTCCGATATTAGCACAAACTTGTGCATGACAAGTTTTGCACTCAGCTACAATGTGTTTTCAGACTCCAAAAAACAAATACTGCCACAAGGCCGACATCACTCCTACCCCTTGCTACTTTGTTTATACCTCAGTACACACCGTTGTTGTGATCACTTGGGCTCTGCATGCTAGATACACTGCTAGGTAGAGGTGCTGGAGTTGAGTCTGGGATGGACTGCTTGTATCTGAGATTTTAGATGCAGGCTGACATAATCTGATATTCGTTTTTTTGCTCATATCGGACCGATATCCGATGCCAATGTTGTATCGGGACACCCCTAATTTGAGGTGTTGTGCCTGTTGTTCTATTTTTTAAAGCACAAGGCCAGAATTTTACACACACACCTGCAGGCAAACACACAGATCAACTGGGCCAGTGGCCACTTAAAAGGGTTAGATCAAACACCAGCCATCAGACAGACATCAAACAGTGCTGGTCCTCCTCTCAGCAAATACAGTCTTTTCTAAAACAAATATCAGTCAATAAAGGTCACCTCGAATCTGTTCAATCAGAGAAAATAAAAGCGGCCTCATGCTGCATCAAAAAGAGGATCCAAAGCAACATGAAAGACTGTCCAATAAATGTCCCTCTGTTATGATATTTGAGCAGATCGTTATTTTACTATGCATGCACACACTAATTCCATCAGTTTCTTTAATGCAAGACTGCAGGCTTTCCAGCTGTAATCTGTTGTGCAACAGTGGACAAGAACAACAGTGCTAGAATCCACAGATGTTATCAAATATTTTCCATTGCAGTAATATAGTTTTAATTGGAGCATTAAGAGAATTTGCTTTTCGAGTTATGGTTTTCTCAGGGATGCAAAAAGAATGTCTTTATTATTTTGACATTGTAGTTATTGGAGCAAAAGTTAGAGGGGCTAAACTAGGACAAAGATGTTTTTGCTGTCCTTCTCCAGAGTATTTGTTACACACTTCAATAATATCTGACACTATTACACTTTTCTCTTTTGTCTTTTCTCATGGGCACGCACGCACGCACACACGCACGCACGCACCTGTATCTCTCCTCTTCACATCAGCTCAAATGTCATTCATCTTGTTGAGGAGAAATACTCTGACGTCTCTCTGGTAATGAAGTCTACAAATAACTCATGTTTCCACAGTCTTATTCCCAAAATGACAAAAACAAATCAATAACCCCACGTCTCTTTTTGCAGCTGTTTCTCATTTTCCTGCCACCGATCTTTTGCCTCACAAACAATGAGATAAATTATAAGGAATGCAAAACCTGACATTTGCAGCTTCTTTTGGCGTGTTACCCTAAATAACCTGGAGTAGGCCATTGCTTTCCAAAAAGCCTGAACCCCCGACTCCTTACGATCAAAATCTTTTTCTAATTATAAATCTGTACGGCTACTTTGCCATCACGGTACAAGCCAAATGGTTTGACATTTAAGTGACAATTTCTCCCTGACCTTTGAATAAATCTACCCTCATGTTTGGCCCCGCCCACTGGGATAAGATCAGAGGACCCTCGTCTGTCTGAAAATGTCAGCAGGCAGGATTCTCAGGCGGCTGCTCACTTTGGGACCATGACAAAAAGGACCATGATGTACCAGAGACAGAGTGGAAATTATTTTCAGTTCAAGATGCTCAATAAGGTTGTGCATGCTGATTGCTGAAGAAAAGGTTGTGCAGGAAAATGTGATGCACATTTGCTAATAACACACTCAAGCCCTTCCTGCGCTTGAGCTGCTCCTACCTAGAAATGAGACGCAGACTTTACAGAAGGTGCCTCCAGCTGTGTCTTGGCTGAGTCCATGACCAGCGATCCTGTGTAGACAAACTCCAGCAGATGCTCCAGCAACGATGTTGGTCATGATCAGTTCCAGCATCTCCCAGCTCCCAGTTTCCTTCAACAACGTGAACAACCAATCAGGGCAGACAGAAGCAATTTCATCCATGCTGTGAGATGGAAAACAAAGAAACAAAAAGGGGACAGGGTTACAGATGAAACATTAACACCTGAAAACACCTGAGTCTGCTGGGGAGTGTGGAAAAATTGAGAAAGCTATCAGATAAAAAAGGAACTAAGTGAAAGAGAGACAAAAACAGAACTTAGGGCTGGGCGATATGACCTCAAATCAATTTCACGATATATTGAGCAGTTCACCTCGATAACGATGAATGGACGATAACTACTCCACAAGCTGCTCACCCCCCTCCTCACCTGTCTTTCCCTCTTTGATACCAACTGGATGGGGTGGAGTCACATCTCTGACGTAGGACAGCGTCTTAAAAGGGACATGAGACCATAGCCCACCTACACACATCCAAAACCAACTTTTATGTATTTATTTTTTGACACCAAATATATTGACATGGGCAAAATGACGTCAGTTATTGTCGTAAATTTCGGTATCTGTAAATTTTCAGTTTATCGCCCAGCCCTAACAGAACTTCAGATAGTTTGCTCCAGGGAAACGTGGAAACTTTTTTTATACCATGCTTCTGCATCTGAAACAAAATCTCCTTTCTGAAAACAGATTCGGCAAATAAACATTTTTAATTTGTCTTGTGCGGTTTACGTGGGTTTTTATGTACGTATAGTTTCAGATGCGGACATGCATGCATGGCAGAGTATATATGAAATCAGACAGAAAAAAGAGACAGAAAGTGACAGCAGAGTACAAACACTGGCATATCACAGGATGTAAAGAATGCCGGTTAAATAGAGCTCTTGTTTTTGTTTATGAGTCTAGACAACTGCTATGAGTATCCACTCAGACTGGCGTGGTGTGGGAGATGCCCAGGAGTTCATGTCTGAGCAAATGAATGAGAATATGATCTTCCTTCATGGTGTGAAGGGGGGAGTAGAGTCTGATCAAATGGCAACTTAAAGATTGCCGTGTTGGATCTCAAGGGGAGGTAGGAGAGTTCAAGAACACCTTAACAGCCATGTTTAAAGCCCCCGTGTGAAACAATAATCCACTTCAGGAAAACATAAAAGCACTCGAAGCTCTGCAGTAAGCAACCCCCCTCTACTGCGTTTCTTCCTCTAGACTGTGGACATGAACATGAAAGCAGCCTTCATTAAGATGGATGGAGGATGTTTGCTTCTGTCACTCATGGCAGCACAAAGATATACAGCTCTGTTTTTGTGAGTGTGTTGTTTTTTTCTTCTTTAGAAGTCAGTTTCTTGGATTAGAAGTCAGCGAGACAAAGAGAGAAAAACGAACATGATGAAAGGCAGATGAAATGAGTCAAGCGGAGATAAGGGAGGTAGAAGGGAAAGGAAGAGTGATACTCATCAGCAGATTGTCGGGGATGAACTTAAATATTACTGAGATAGTGAGAGGGGAGAAGGACATCTGAAAATCAAAAACAGACATTTATCTCTAAAATCAAGACCAGTTTCCACTCTTGACTCCAAAAGCAAAGTGTTGCAAGTGGAAAAGATAAACAAAACAAGGTGGGGAGTGTCAACCAGTGTTAAACTAAAAAAGCGCTAAAAATAAAAACGATCATACTTATCGCCCTGTCTCATTAGTTCTCCATGAACCAGCGCAGTGGTAGGTTTTGACCTGAGCTGTTGTTTTACAGAGATGATTTTTTTCTTGGCCTAAAAAGAGGTAGATATTTATGCTGTGTCTGAATGTACACTGGAGAGACAGAGGAGGAGAAAGAGCGAGCAAAAGAGGAGAAAAAAAAAGGATGGACACACTCAGGCAAAGACATTTGTTTGTGAAAATTGCACCACTTATTCAAGAGGGAGTCTTAAAACCAGCAGAGAGAGCGTCAGACTGATAGAGGGAAACGAGAGCGTATACACAAGTAAACACAAACACACACACTCATTTTGTAAAATATCCTTCAAACTAAAAAAAGCCTTCTTACAGGTAAACACATTTAGGTTGTTCTCACAGGACTATCCATTCTGTAAAAGTACTCACACAGCACGGATATTTTAAGACAGGGAATTATTCAAATGCAAGGTGGCACAGTTTGAACTAAAAACATAAAAATGAAAAAACCTAATGTGCTTTTTTCATGGCTGGGATTCATATTTATTTTTTTGGAACACTGACATGGACTAAAATAAAACACGGGAAAACTTCAAGGGGAAAGGACAAAAGGAAAAGGACAAAAAAGACTCCACAGGACAAAAAAAACTCCACAAAAAAGTGGAGTTTAAAACCTACGTGGGTCACGTGTGTGCCGAACTGTTGACGTTGATCTGAACGGATCACGGATCACTGATGATCCGTTGCATCACTAAGTGTAAAAGAAAAAATAAATAAATTAGTTTTTTTATGATAGAGGTAAAAAGTTTTAATCTAAAAAATATAAATAAATAAACATGCTCTTCTCGGTCTGATGACCACAAATGAAAAAAGATCCGAAAATTTACTTTAAAATCAACGATGTTTGTTTTCTTTGCAATATTTCGCTCCTAGATTCAACTTCATTATTTTTCAGTAATCATGCAGAAAATCTAAATGTGCATCCATCTCTTCATTTCTGACTTAATGGAGGAGGAGGCAGTGAGGCTACAGCTAGAGACTGTGTGTCTTCTTCTTTGTTTACCTCAACGATTGTCACACAAACAAGACAAAACAAACACACCTCCTCTCCCTCTCATACTAACTGGCTTTGGGTCAAGGTGACTCCCAATCAAGACAAAAACACTCACAGAGATTTAAAGTGACAGTGAAAAATTGTTGTATTTTATCTGAGGAAAAAGAGTAATGATACTTTCTACATACTGATACATGAACACACACTCACTTACACTGCATCAAGTATAAACAGACGTTCACACTTGTATGGAGAGAATCACCAGCAGATTTGGCTCTGAAATGTCTTTTTTACACTATTTTAGCATTTTATGGATTAAAAACTCAAGTGTAAGCAAAAGAAAAAAAATTGTTTCTTGGGGGGAAAAAGTTCCTGCGCCACAGCCTGAATTTGCAAAATGTCTAATTCTTCTTTTTGGAGCACAAGCTCTGCTCATTAAACTAAAAATGTCATTCAATTTCTCTACACGGAGACAAAAAGGTAACAGAGACATTTGACCTTTATCGCCCGCTTTCAGACACATTCATTTCAGCAGGAAGAGGAAGGAATGTCTGCTGGCTATGTATAAGAAACCAAAGTCTTGCGACACCTGAAAAAAGGAGGAGAGAGGAAGAGGGGAAAAAAGCGGCATAAATGAACACTTACAAATGAAAAGAACAGGCTGGATCAGAGCTGGTGGGAGGAAGGAGACGTTTTAAAGTGCAGATTGTAAGAGACATCTTTGGAGACATTATTGGTGGAGAAAGAGAGTTGTGAGAGGATCAAGCAAATGCAAAATGACTTATGAATAAAGACATGGAAGTGAAAAGCATGCATGCAAAAAAGGGTATAATTAGCTCATACACTCTATACTGCACTGAGATGTGCAGTACCAAAGAATGCTTGTGGGTTAGATAGGACTGAGAAAAAGATCAAAAGTGTTTTGATATTATGGAGGGACTCTTAAATGAGTACATCTGACCTCTGTTAAATCCACGAGAGTCTCAAGCTTTTGACAAAAATGAGATTAAAGTGCATCTAAAAGAACGTGGGCTGAAAAACATAAACTCTTTTGACACGTTTCATATTAAAATTTAATTCTCTAGCTTCTTACAAGTGCTGTCCTCAATGAAGAGTTGACCTCTAGGTGCCCCTCAGTGGGAAAAACAACTGCTTACCCTCAAATCCAAACACCTGCTTCTCTTGTCTTACAGATTACCAGAGCACAGTCTGGGAAAACCACGCGCAGAGCTAGCTGACAACATCACAGGGTGAGTTGTACAATGTGGTTGAACAGCCTCGTGTCAGGCCCGGTGTTACAGTAGCGTTAGGTCGGAGGGTCTTGTTTCTCTGCGTCTTAATGAGGCACCATGAGGGGAAGCGGAGAGGGGAAAACAGCGGGAGACAAGCAACTTGTTCTAGAGTCTCAGGAGGGATAACCAACACAGCAGCTCTGTTAGTCTACAGAAAACGCCACAAGAAGAGAAGTCAGGGATTACAAAGAAGCAGCTGAATTCAAATTTACCGCCTTCTTTTCCCGACACTGGGAGCTCATCTCAGAATTAATGCTGCAGCTGATGTTATAAAGAATATAACATATGGCTCAAAAAAGTGATATGCAGAGGAAAGCTTTGGTTATCTTTGAACAGTGCGTCTTTCATAGGGTTTTGTACCAGAGAATAAATGAGCATTAAAATCGCCTGCTCATTAAATATGCTGACAACAGCAAAGGGGGAAAAAAACACAAATTTACATCCAATCTTGGACAACATATCTGCTCTCCCTTTGACAGCTGAACCAATTCATGCGCAGACATTAGTTGTGAATACTGAACACATGGTAAGTTTGAGTTTGCTCTAGTGAATCCTGCAACATTTACAGCTCTCACCTCCAATCCACCACAGTACAGACCATTTATCTGCCTCGAGAATAGAGAAAGAAGGACGAGGAGACAGAAAACTCAGTCTGTCAGCCAACAATGTCCGCCCCCCTCAGAGCTGAGCAGACACACCTGAATGCCTGATGGGAAATTTAAGAGCGACCTCCCAGAACACCTCATCAACACCCGGGACCATAAAACCGCTCATGGCGTCCCCATTCTTAGCTTTGGCATTGGGTGTATCAAGACTGAGTTCAAGTGATCACAGCGGCTTTAAATGGGAGATGTCTCAATACCCCTAAAATTAAGGAGTTATTTAACAGCAGACCTTATTTTAGATTCCCGTGTGACACTTGTGCGGTACATTATCGGCTGTAAATGACTGAAATTAAATGTACTACAGCAGATTTAGAATTTAATCTGTTCGCTAAGGTAATGAGGGATGGGGCTGGCTCTTCCTGATTGGTCGACAAAGAACACAGGGGGAATAAAAACAAGGTCATCTCTGCTGATCAGCCTAGTAACTCT